AGTGGCGTTGGAAAAAAACACAGGGAGACCCTAAACACCCCCCGGTGAAGCAGCACGGCCACCTTGCAGAGGGGATGGGAGCAAATGGATATCCTGGCTCTTGGCTTCTATTATCATCATTATTATTGTTATCATTATTTAGGCTTCCCCCCCCCCACCCCCCAAATGCATTTCTATTTTAATTTCTTAGAAATGCTGGGCCTGGTTCACTGCCTGGTTTATGGTTCTGTCCGTGGAACAGGAGTCAGCCTGAACAGATTTAAAATCTTCTAGGAAACAAGGGAAAACCCCAAAGAGATTAGTCCTAAACTAGAAAGAGCTGTATACAGCAGTATACATAGGAAATGACAGTCAGGGTATCTGAGCCCATGTACTGCTGGGCTATCAGTTGCGCTGGACTGGCTGTCCAGAAATGACAGGCTGGGAAATATGTCCCCGTGCTTCAGCAAGTTCCTGAGATTTAACATTTTAATGTTACTCTGAGTCAGAATATGCCTTCTATGTTTTTTGGGGTTTTTTGTCTTTTTTTTTTTTTTTAGCTGGTGATTAGATGGACAGGTTTTAAACAGAACAACGTGTTTCTGGCAGAAAGGACATCATAACAACCCGGGGAACTCTTAAAAGTTGGATTCTGTCATGCTGCTGTGTGCTGTTGAACAGCTGCTGCGTTTCACGCCAGAAGTGGCTGTTTTTCAGTGGTTCAGGCACTGAGGTCCCTTGATAGGTGCTTACATTTCTAACATGTTTTCAGGGCTCCTAGAGATGAAAGTGCTTTATGTAAACAGCATCGTTAGTTTTCATAGCTTGTGTAGCCCTGACATTTTGGTTTTGTTTTTGAATCTTCTGGCTTTGGCTGTGTCTTCAGGCAAAGCAGGGATGAAAGCTTTTTTGGTTGTTAGTCTGGCCTTTAGGATAAAATATAGCCTCTGCCCGATCCTGCATTCCAGGCATTCCCCAAAATCTTCTTGGCTGCTCTGCAAGTTTTGAGAGTGCACAGAAAGCAGATCTGGCCCGTAATGTGCCTGGATCTATTTGCCTCTGATGGTCCCCTATCTTAAAATGACTCCGGTTACACCAAGTGACATTGCCCCTTGTCAAAAGGGATGGCAAAATAAGCATGCTGGCTGTTTTCTGCTGAAGTACTTTGCTCACAGCAGTTGCTAGGAGTTTGTTGGGGTTTTTTTCCCTTCCTTTCAGCCCTTATTCAAATTAGGGTTTAGTTCTATTCCCAGTGAAATATATGGCTATTTTGATATGTGGCTTCCTAGTTCACACAGGCATTTAAAGAAAACTTGAACTTTTTTTAAAAAAAAAAGAACTTTACCAACTGCTTTTGGTGCACACTCTTCCCGTGCACGCACAGAGCACGCCAGCTTTTCTTAGAAAAAACCCACAACACGTTGCAGTCCAGATTTCACTCACAGCACCATTCTTCAGAGGTTAAGGCTGGAACAATGCAGACGTAGGAGGGAAGCTCAGAAACCATCTGAGGGCAAGTCCTCCTTTCTGCCCCACATTTCACAAGGCAGTCACCAGTTTTTGGTGCAAGATAGAAACGAGCTGCTTGGGTGAATTCTTACTGGAAGCCAATACAAACTTCTCAGATTATGTTTTCTGTTTCAAAACTGGAAATAGCTCAGGTCTGGGACTTCTGCTGGAGGAACTTTCTGTCAATGCAGAGATTAAAAAAAAAAGAAGCCCTGTGTGTTAGAAATAGTTCAGCTCTTCTGACTCTTCACTTTTACTATAAGGAATGATTATAGACTAAGGTCACAAAACAGAGCCACTAACCTCTGTTTGAACTTCCTCGTGTTCGGCACATGTGGGTATTTCATTATCGGTTCAGAGGCATAGCTGACTGACAGGCATACCAGGAAAATGTGCAATCTTACTTTTAAGTCCTTCTTTCAACCTGCCCCTACTTCCTCCATGTGCGTAGAAAGGAGGAAGCTGTATCTTTAAGAAATATGGGTTTTTTTCCCTCTGTTTCCTGTGAAATATTAATAGACGCTGCCAAGGGGATGGAGCTCTTTAAAGATGTTGTATAAAACATCTCGCTCTGTGTTCACTGCAGCACTGAGCCTTTAAATTTTTCTCCAGAGAAGGCAAAGACAGGGCAAATTTTAGAGATCAGGCAGCAAGGATGCTCTGCAATAGCAGTAACAACCATCGCCTTCCCTGCACAAAACTGGAAGCTATTGACTATTCATGGCAAAGCGTCCAAAGCGCAGCGGCAGAGCCTGTGGAAAATGACAGCGTGTAACAAGATTGACTGGCATTTCCTTCGCGCTGGGTCACATGCCTCCTAATTCACACACACACAAAACCTCATAGGCTGATCAAATGACTTCTATCTCTGCAGTCCGCATACCTTCCACGAAAAGAGTTGTTTTATTATGCACGTATACAGCTCTGTTTTCAATCAGTCACCTTGAGCGAATGACTGAGGGCCAGTGTTTGCTCCATCCGGAGGTCTCTGCGTTTGCTCTCTAAGCGGCATAGTCTCCCTCCGTAAGCAATTTTTTTTTTTTTTTTTCCTCTGGGGGGAAAGAAAAGAAAACAAATATGCAGATGTCCCTCCTGCCTTCCCCTCCCCAGAAACCTTTCTAGGAAGTTTGCGTGGCTCTAACTGGGAAAGTGCAGGACGGTTGCCACTGTCGGTGAGCGTTGCGGTGGGCTGCACTAGGAAGGATGGATTTTGCCCTTGTGCCTCCATGGGGTTGCAGTGGGGTTATGGCTCACGTGGGTAGGGGCTTGTGGGATGCTGCCCGCTCACTGCTTCAACCTGGGGGAGAAACTGGGAGCGTAGCTGCCCACCGTGGGTCACGGCAAATTGAGATGCCAAGGGTCCGTATGAGCCCTCCCAGTTTAGCAACTGGCACGAGGTTCAGATCACCTTGACCTCTGTACCCAAAGAGAGAGGAGTATGGAGTGATGAGGTGAAACCAGCCACCAGCCAGCTTGCCAGGACACAGCAATTAGCTCAGCACAGTGCCAGTCTTATTAAGGGCAGTGCAGGTGATGATGACGTTGGCACGCTGATTCATTACATCTGGAGGGGAAAATCCGCGTAGTAAATGCTGAAGCACAGTAAATATTTTTGGCTCCTGAGAGATTGATCCTTGCATTATGCTGATTAGCCTATATTTGTGGAACAGAGGAAGTTAAAAATAAGGTTGGTGGAAAGCTACAAGATAAGGAAAGGATTTGCATTTTAACGCCACCAGCAATAAACTTTTTTTATTTGGGTTTTTTTTTTTTTGTGGTAAAAATTTCAACACTTTATTTTTTTCTCCCCATTCCCTTCTTTGGCTCTAGGTTTCACTGGTAGGTGAAAGCCCATAATTTATTTTCTCTGGCCAGTAATATTCTGGAAGGGAGCTGTAAATCTAGAGTGCACACAGTTGGGAAATGATTTCTGAAAGAATTCTTTTGCAAATACGTGGTGCAATCCTGCAAAATGCTTCAGCCCTGACGGTCCTTAAGGGGTGGTACAAACGTATCAAAGCGTGTAGCAGCATGTGTGCTCAGCGAGGCTGGATGCTTAGGACGTTCTTGTGAGCTAGAGGGCTTTACGAGCTTTAGTTCGTGGAGATAAATGATTAAACCGACTTCTGACTGTTGCTGTTTTGTTTTCCTTCACTCAGGCTTTCACCTGAACTTTTGCCGCCTGTTATATGCTGTTGGGATATCCATAAGAGATTGCCCAGGAATGGTGGATCACTTGCTGCCTACTGATGAATCCTTTTCATCTACAAGATCTTCTCTTGGATACTTTGGGGACATGACAGCAGGGGTGAGGTCCTACCAAATGCTGCCCTCTCCCCTGTCAGAAGATGACAGCGACTCGTCCAGCTTTTGTTCTTGTTCCAGCCCTGACTCCCAGGTTCTCAGCTCCAGCTATGGAAGCACGTCCAGTGCAGAAAGTCAGGACAGTATCTTAGACTACTTATTGTCCCAGGCATCTTTGGGGAACACCGCTGCGTCATGGTGGGACAAAAGGAGACTTCAGCCGATAGTGAAGGAGGAGTACTTTAGGTTGCCTGAATTTGCCGTGGATATGGAAGACTCTGGACCATTTCAGCCCACGCTTGAGGAAATTGAGGAATTTCTGGAGGAGAACATGGAGTTGGAGCTCAAAGAAAGACCTAAAAGTGAGACCAAGGACTTGAGAGCTTGCAGCCAAGTTTCTATTGCTTCACTACAGCAAAAAGACCATATGTTACCCAGCGCTAGTTTAAAAGAGAGTAAAAACGAACAGTTGAGCTGCTCAACGGAAGGTGGCCAAGCTTCAAATGGAGGAATGTCCCTGGAGAACGGGATACCGGTTATGCTCCAAATTCAGCCTGTACAGATCAAACAGGAGTCCAACACGAGCCCTAGTTCCCAAGGACCAGCACAAGAGAACATTAAAATTGCACAGCTCCTAGTCAACATCCAAGGACAGACATTTGCCCTTGTGCCGCAGATAGTTCAGTCGTCCAATTTGAACTTGTCCTCTAAATTTGTCCGCATTGCTCCCGTCCCCATCGCTGCCAAGCCAATTGGGCCAGGAGGCATGATCCAGGGTCAGACAGGAATCATCATGGGTCAGAAATTTCAAAAGAACCCTGCAGCAGAACTCATTAAAATGCACAAATGTTCTTTTCCTGGTTGTACCAAGATGTACACGAAAAGCAGCCATTTGAAAGCCCACCTGAGGAGGCATACAGGAGAAAAGCCTTTTGCGTGCACGTGGCCAGGTTGCGGATGGAGGTTAGTACTGGGGTGCAGCACTGTCCACTCCCCCTACCCCTCTTCTACTCGCTCGACATAACTTGCCAAGCAAGTAGGCTTGCACTCTGATTTATAAACTGTTTCTGTTCTTCAAACCTGTTCAGTTGGTTTGAGAATTAAGACCTCTTTCTTCCTTTTAGGTAGTCCAGGGGCTTTGATAAATTAAATAGCAGAGCATCACCTGCTGGCACCAGCTGTTTAAGTGTATTAAAAAAAAATAAAAGTAGTCCATTGTAATTTGTATTTCATTCCAAGAGGGTCAGATTAAGCTTGTTACCGCAGGCAATACCTTGTGTTCACATCGGTCTGGTTGCAACACACCAGCTGCAGCAGATGCTCGGCTGGTACCAGCTGAGGGCTGTAAGCGAATGGGATGGTTTAGGGCAGAATCACTGTGCGCGGCTGTGTGCGGCTCCAACTGCACGGGGCCAGACGTGATCACTGAAGGACTGTGACAAGTGAGCGTGGTTAAGAGCAGCAGTATTCCGTGCAGTTTCATAGAAAATGCACTCCATCCCACTCCTTCTGGAAATGCTGGCAGTGACACTCTGGCATGCTCTGGGTTTCATTCTCTGCATTGATTCAGAAAAATGTGTGGGTGCCACTCAAAGTTGCAAAAAGCTGTCAGATGTAACGACATAACCAGAAGGCTGAGGTGGAGTTAAGCATTGCTTGAATGGAAGATTGCAGGTTTGAGCACAATGTTTCGCAGAGAGTATCTCCTAATTTTTTTTTTGTATTTTTAATACTAGTTGAGAAATTAAAACTTTGTTAAGAAAAATCAACCTTTTATTTTAAGGAAACTTTGACGGAAGCCTTCCTCCATCTTTCCGATTAGCTATATTACTAGCCTGCCTGCTGCAATTGTTAATATACAGCACCACAAATTGTGATGGGAGAAAACAAAATCTTAACTCCCTTGTATAAATTAAACCGTGTTTCTTTCAAAGAATATCCTGCAGAGCTTCAGTGAGCAATGTCTAATGAGGAAATGGGTTGTGATCATGGGGAACAGACGAGGTAAAAAGTAACAGGAGAGGGTTGTGTAAAAATGCAAGTATGTGAGACATGCAGCAGTTAGAGATGGCTGGATTGGTTTGAGGGAAAAGGTCAGAATGGGGCTGAATCCTCCGCTCCCAAACTGGACCAGTTTGCAGTTCGAAGTTTGCCTCTTGGTGGGACTGAGGAGATCAATGCAGTTAATTTCTTTAGTGATTTTTCTTTCCCGTTTCAGTTTATGGTGGCTCTATAAACTGGTGATGATTTTCTTTCCTTTTGTGCTGGTGGCACTTCTCATGAGCCAAGCTCAGTGGCTCGCTGCTCAGGATACACTGCAATTAAAGCTCCGTTATTTAGCTGGTTGGTCCCATGAGCTGCAGGCTGGTTTGCTCCTGACCTGCAGTAGAGGCACTCGCTCCTTTTTAGTTGGTTGCCAGAGTACGTGCGCACAGGCAGCAGATGTGCCTCCTGCCTGCGAACGTGCCTGTGGGTGTCGTGTTGGCTTTCCTTGTGCTGGGATGTGAGCAAAACTCTCATTTTTGTGACACGTGAGGATTCGTCTGATCCATGCTGAGACTTATACCAACAGTCCCAGTGACTTTTGTGGCTCAAGATCAGGAGCCCAAAGCGTTGCCTGTGGGTGACCTTCTCCAGCTCTGTCTTATTACAGAGCTGGTGTTTTCCAGGCTGCAAAACGGGGGAACACTTAGGAAAAATATGAAGTGGTAAGGGATGGAGTTTGAATTTATGCTGGGGTGCCTGCCTTCTCCCAGCGTTACAGCGAATGGTGTGGATCAAAAGCAGGATGCAGGTGTAAGGTGGGCCAAGAGAAGAGCAGGTGCTGCAGCCTGGAGCACCCTGAACTTTTAGCCAGCCACAACTCTTTAAAGATGAGAAGCCCAACAGGGATGAGATGATTAATCACTGTAGCTACGAGGAACGCATGTCCTGTCCACAAACAGCTGCTGGAGGGGCTTTTCAAACCCTTTATTGCTGTTTGCCTTGCATTTCACAGCCCAGGCTGGTACCCCAGTCCCCAACACCCCCAAACTTTGGAAGGGCTCTGCTCTGAGGGGGGAGATCTATAGCCAGCAGGGGAGGCAGCACCTGGGGAGCCGCTTCCCGCACTCACAGCAATCCTTAGGGCCGGCCTGAGATTCCTGCACATCCCCTACGTGCTGCTCCCACATCAAAGGCCAGACCCAGTTGAGCACTGAATTACTCTGTCCCCTTTTGTCAATAAAGCGTGTTTACCTTTTCCAGAAGTTCAGCGAGAGCTGTGATCTCAATGACTTAAGTCAAATGCATCTGGACTCTCTGTTTGCTCCCAGTTTTATATCATCTCAAATGAATTTAAGCACCAGAACACTGCTGGGCTTTGCCCCCCGCCCCTTCCCGGCATTCTTGTGCTTGTGTATTTATTTTTTCACTGAAGACACTTAAGATCTGAGCTCACTGAAGATAGTAATTTCAAAAACAAAACAAAGTGTTGCCTAGCACAAAGTGGCTGAGCTGTGGGGGAGTTAAAGCTTTCCTTGCTCTCTGGGCAGTCCTGCTGTGGTGAAACTATATGCTTTAAATGCACCAAGGTAGGGGCGTGAGCACAGAAAAACCCTTTTGCCAGCCCCTAGGACAGCCAGAAACCCCCAAGGACCTCTCTGGAGGAGGCTGAACCCTGCTTGCTTGTGCCCTTCCTTGGCACGGGGCGAGAGCTGTTTTCGGCAGGCTGCAGAGAGGCGTTCATAAGTGACCGGTGACCCGTTGCTTTAGATGCCCCGCTGTACCGGTCAGCGCGCTGATCCGTGTCACGCCAGCTTATACCTTTGGCACACAGCAGCCTCTGGTTAGCACTGCTCCGCAGACAGCCCCGACCGAAAAGCTGAGCTGCAGCGTGGGCCGGTGCCCAGCAGCTGTGTTACAGCATGGAGCAGGAGAAGCTCTCGCTGGTGCAGCAGCGTACAAAACTGCGGTTGTTGTAAGGCCTGGGGGATTAGGCAATCGCGTTTAAATGTCCTGCCGCATCTTCTGGCTGGAGGCACTTCCCTGCAGCTGGCGGGTGACAGCATGCAATACCAGCTCTGCCTGATTTGGTAGGGAGCGTTTAAAGGTGTTGTAATGCATGTGGCCAGGACCGTGTATGGGGAGGACCGTGCGTGGGACAGGTCAGGGCAGGCGTCTCGCATTGGCTGTTTTTGCTGGTGCTGTGCAAAGGCGTTTGCAGGTGCGCAAGAGGAGCGCTGGTTTACGGTAGCTGTGCTTTGGGGATGGGCAGGATGAATCTAGAGCCTCCACTGCAGAGGAGAGGTACAGCCTGAGTCAGTCTCAGTGGCTGGTGGCCATGGTAGGAACCATGGAGTACTAGGCTGAAGCTATCGACCTTTCTTGCCCTGTCAGCTACGTAATGATGTCCTCGTTTGGCTGGGAGACACAGGACACATCCTACGCATTGGGGAGCTCTAGGATTCGTCTCCAAGGGAGATGTAGTTACAGGCCCTTTGGGGTCCCACCAGATAGAAGGATGAAGGAGACTCTTCTAATCGTTGTGGGATTACCCAGATCCCTCCACCTTTGAGGATGAATCTTTCTGGAAATGGCAGTGACTTGGGATAGTGAGGTGTTCCTTTGGGGTACCTTGTTTTTGTTTGAATTTGGCATTCCACTGTGGATTATTTGCAGTTTTCTTGAGGTGATCTCAGTGCCAGAACATGCTGCAAATATCATTTCACTGCAGACCTAGGCCACCAGATCCTCCCGGCTTCCTTGTCCTAACCTTTGCGTTGTTTTTTTGTAAACACACCGACAGCTCGAGGTTTATTTCTGTGGGCTCTGTAAGTTGATCTTTCCGTGACTGCTGGGGAACAGTATTGCAACATTCCTGCCTCTTCAGCTAAGGACATCGTTATGAGGCAGAGTGTATTTTTATCGGATGAACTCATCCGAGCTCCCAGGGTATGAGCAGAGCTGCTCATTCCTGATATGCACCTCTTTCTCCCCCACCATCCATGCAATCCCCATCAAAATGCACTTGGGATTAGCCATGTGCTACTGCACTTCTGTTGCAGATGGTGACCTTAATGGCCAAGGACACAGGACAAGGCAACCTGGCCACATCTGGTTTTACTCCTTCTCCTAGTGATAAGCCTGTATATAAGAGGATGGCTCTTTGCAAAGGCGCTTTTCCCTCTCTGCTCCCTCTTTCCCCCGGATGCAGTTGCCACCACTGGCAACAGGTCCATTCGTTGTCTAATGCTGGGTCCCGTTGAGGCAGTCTGCATGGGCAATGTCATGCCCTCTCCAGAAAGATGCTTAGTCCCACTCATCCATAGCTCTACGAGAGCATCCCTCCAGGGATGTGGCACTCGGACAAGCTCACTGCTAAGGACTCGGGAGAAACCCCTGACCCTGCTGTTCCCAGGTCCAGACTGTGGTTTTGGGACACCATGGCTGGAAGGAGCAGGGATGCTAGAGAAAGCAAATGGGCAGGTACTACAGGTGAAGAGATGGGTTTCTCTGTAAAGGGTTTCATCATAGCCTTTACAGAGAAGAGACGTCCCAGGTGAGGAGCAGGTTGATGGATCTATTAGGGTATCTGCCTATGGCTCTTAGTGGTGAATTTGAGTCACCATGGGGATACCAAAGCAAGGACAAGGCAGAGAAGCAAGAGAATGGGTGAAGGAACCTCCCCTAGAAATGCCCTCGGGAGAGGTGTGTCCACACTATATCTTACCCACGGTGAGTATCTGCATCTGCTTTGCGCTGGCTGCAGAACACTCTCTGGGTAGCATCACTGCAGAGCTGCAGGAACTGAGGAAAGCATTCCCCGCTTTCCCAGTGCCTGTGCCCTGTTCCTTAACTGGTAGTGGGAGATCAGACCTAATTAAAACCTTTATGTGGAAACTTATTTTTCTTGCATGAAGGAATTATTCATAGGAGCCCAGTGGTCCTGTTTCCCCCCCTTTCATAAAAGTAGCATATTCACTCTGTTGGTGAAGTGATATTTTGCTCCAGAAGGGCACATTTTTCTACATGTCCTTTCCCTCATTTATTCAGCTACTGCCCATGACTTCATTTATTTATTGTAAATAAACAGCTGATACCATTTCTTGCAAGCTCTCTTTCTGTGTTGGTCTTTGTTACTGCTCTGGCAACAAAACACTTAATTGCCCTTTGTCAGGCAGCAAATTTTTTGTACCCATCTGGACAGGGCTGTTTTAGTGTGAAATTATTAATTAACCCTGTGGCTCCCAGTCAGGTCCAAGCTGGAAATAGAGCCAGCCCTGCTGTTAAGACCAAAGGATTAGCTGATTTCAGTTCAGTAAATCCTGTGGGATTCATGGTAGCTGTTTGGGGATTTTTCTGTGGAGATGGGAGGTGGGAAATATGTAAAATTTAAATGATTCAGGGAGACAATTTTGGTAATTAAAGGCTCAATCTTGATTTCAATTTACCCATGAAGTAACTACGCTAATGGCCATTGGGGCCCACCTGGATGTCAGCTGTTATGATGTTGAGCATCCCTGGTACTAAGCTGTTAATGACTATTTAGCCTGCAGGAGCATGTTCAAAAGCCAATTTTTCAGCTGGATCTGATAAGCTGGATCAGATGTAGCTTCTGGGTAGCTCTGTCTGGCTGTTATCTGGGGTCCATCTCAAACTAGGTGCAATTACTGGATGTCCGTTGTGGTCGTGTCAGGGGGAGCTTGGAGCAGACCTCATCTGCGGGACGTTGGTTGTTATCTCTGCTTGAGAGTGGTCTGTGCTTGGATTTGCATGAGAGAGGTTGCAGGACAGGCTTTGAAGGGGACTGGCAGAGGGATCAAGAGCAACGCTGTTTTAGTTGAGCTGTACCCATGTTATTGGGTTTAGGGCAAGGTTCATACAACCATTGCCTCCATGCATTGCTCTGAGTCCAGAGCTGACATGGGATGAGGTTGATAATTGTGTTTCCATCACTGCTGCTGACTGCTGGTTGGGACCAGACCTTTCCGTTCGCACGCTTGAGCTTTGCCACAAGCGGAGTCTGCCAGTGGCCTGAGGGGACTTTTTTCCCCGCTGTGAGAAACTTAGCAATGTAAAAACCTATTTGTCTGAAAGGGCTTCTCTTCTCTTGCAGGTTCTCCAGGTCAGATGAGCTGTCCCGGCACAGGCGCTCCCACTCAGGGGTGAAACCCTATCAGTGTCCTGTCTGTGAGAAGAAGTTTGCGCGAAGTGACCACTTGTCCAAACATGTCAAGGTGCATCGGTTCCCACGAAGCAACCGCTCCGTCCGCTCTGTGAACTGATTGGTCCCGCTTTGCCCTTCCCGCCCAGCCATCCTACAACAGCTGATGACAGCACTTTGCTCACTATATTTCTAGTGATAATTTATTTGTCTCCACAGAACAGTCAATGCTGTTACTTGATACCACCATGTCTGAGTGTCCCATGTCCTTTAAAGATGATTTGAGAATGAAGTTCTTTTTGGGTCAAGGGAGGGGGTGCTTCTTCCTTTTTTTTTTTTTTTTTTTTTTTAAAGATGTTATTTTCATTTCCTTCTATCTTTCCCTCCTTTGCTGCTGCTTCTTTTGGAAATTACAGTGTTTTATTTTTAGCTGTTTTCTGCTGCACAGGAAAATGTAAGAGTTGCTTGCTGCTAGTTAATTATAGCCCTGGCATTCCTAAGGGCTTTGCTCATGTACAGGCCATTCATTGTGAGTTTTTATTAAGCTGCTCTATTTGTCCAGTTTGGAAACAGCAAATTCCTTTTGAAATGAAAACAACTCCTTTGTTTTTGGGTCGCCTGAGCCAAGGATTTGTAGGGGCTGGCCATAGGAGGAGGAACAGTGGGAGTCGGGGACAGGGGGAGGCAAGGCATGGGGAGCGCTGGAATGTGCCTCTGTGCCTCTCTGACTTCTCCAGCTCACATTTACCTCTTCCTTGGCCAGGGCTATCTATAAATATTTATGTATATATATTCATACATACATATATATATATATTTAAGCAAAGGCATGTCCCAAGCAAACCTGGAAGCTCAGGCAGGGTGCAATGGCTTGGAGTGGAGCCTTTTGGTGTGGCTGAGCGCATACCGTGTGCATGCTTCTCCCGTCCTGTGCTGCCATGGGGGTGGAGGGATGCCCGTGCATCGAGGGAAACGCTGCTTTCCTTTGACCGCTTCGCAGCATCCACTGTCTTTAGCAGAAGAGCTGTTGTCTGGCGTGTAAAGCAGCAGGAAGCCATTTTTTGAGAACGGCTGAGCTCTGTTCCTGTCTCTGCTCCTGTTCTTTTGTGTGATCTTGGGGGAGAAACCAGAGCGCCAGCCCTGGAGGTGCCCGGTGGCCCTGGTGAGCACCGGGCATGCCGAGCATCCACTGCGAGTCAACGCCTTGCTGGCTGGAGCTAAGTCTCCATTTGCCCACTGGTTGGCAGGGTCTTGTGGGATGTACCTGGACCCAGGGGAGGGTGGGAGGCATCGTGGCCTGGTGGGACCGCACCGTGAGATCTTCTGTCCAAGGGTGATGTTCAAGTGCTAATCCTCTCCTTCCCGACAGCCATGTCAGAGCTCCGTGCAGCTGGGGTGGGCGAATGGGTGAGAACAGTAGCCAAAAGGAACAAATTTGTGTGGTAGCTGGCTAAGAAGGGAATTTAAACAAATAATCAGATGGTAGCAGGCAAGTGATTTTGTTTGTGTTTCTTCTTGTTTTGTTTTTCCTTTTGAACTCTGGCGATTGTAAGAAGCTTTAGAAGAAAATAGAATTCAGTAATTAGGAACAATTTTATAATGGATGTTGCATTTCCTTTCCATTCGCAGACAGCATCTGTTTGTCTTTTTGTCGGCAAAATGGGAAATAGGAAACTGCGATTCTAGCGCTAGGCAGAGCAGGAGCCTGTGCTGTGCAAGAACAGCAGGTCTAGCTAAAGCGAATGCATTCCTTTTGTCCTCTAGAAATTAATATAAATGAACTATCATCTATTGACTGGTTTATATCACATCCTATGAATGTATGTAAATAAAACTGTACATAGATGCATATCTATATAAAATATCTTTTAATAACGTATCAAAATTTGTGTAAATTGGAAACAAAAATACCTATAAAGCCAGTGTACATAAGTTACAATTCTGTATATTTTCTTTTGTTCTTCATAAAAATATATTTACTTTGACAATAAAATGAAAATGGAAATTTTAAATCCCTTCTTGAAATTATTATTCATTAATTTCCTTTGTAGCCAGCTCTGTAATCAGGACATTAGTGCCTGAAATATTGATTCACCTGGATGTAACTTTTCAGGTGCTGGGTAACAGGGAGGTGATGGAACAGATCTGAAGTTGCCTTCAGAAGTTTTTCTCATCTCAGAAAGTTCTTGGGAGGCACAAGATGTGTCAGCTCTCCCTTCGCCGGAGCCCTCACGCCTCGCCTGGCAGCTGCACTGGGACCCGAATGCCTTCTGTGGTTTCTGACCGCTGTGGAACAGGTCTGCAGCTGCAGTAAAACTGTGGTTAATAAATTAGAGCAAACAGGTTCTGAGGGAAATTCAAGCTCTAGTGGTCAGTGCGAAGGAGGAAGGGCTTCAGAGGCTGCTTGAGACTGTGATGGTGACTCACTGTGTGACCCAGGACGAAGGACTGAATTGCCATGTGCCACACTTCCCTTTCTTGTAAAGCGGGGATAATAATGCATCATGGTGATACTGTGGGACTTAATTTACGTTTGTGTGATCCTTGGATGGAAGGAGCAAGCAATAAGACCAGTAGTCACAGGATTAGATTGTGAAAGAAAGGCTCAGCACAGCGGAGGTCTTGGTGCCAAGGCGCTTCAGTTGGCTCTTCTGTAAATCCCATGCCTGAAAGAGTGATGTGAAGGATCTGTGGTACAAAACATGCCTCAGGCCTGAGGAGAAGACACCCTGTCCTGCAACAACCATTGCTTCCCATTCATAACAACAGGGGCATGAACATGATGCTCTTGTGATCTGCAAGCCAGGACCTCTCTTGCACTGTGCTTTTGCTTGGCCTCCGTTGGAAGAAGAAACCAGCAACGTTACTGGTGTTAAAATCACTTCTGAGTCTCCATGGGAGCAATGGTGCAGTGGGTCCAGATCTTCTCCCAGCAAGAATCACTCTGAAACTAATGGGCACTTAGGGATTAAAGTCCCTCCCTGATGAACAGCCACCAAAAAACGCCAGCTGATGAGCCAGGGATCTCCAGACCCCTGATTATGTTTCCTAGAGAACTTCTATGAGTCTGGCAAGAGCACCGAGGGATGAGGCAGAGTAAGTTATGTTCGCTCCAGGTTGTTGTTACCTCCTGAGATGTAGCCTGAAGACCAGAGTCCTAAGGACAGCTGTTTTAAGAGCACTAGTTGTGAATTAGCAAGCCTGCACCGAGAGGATCTCCGATTCCTTTCTGTTCTCACCCTATCGACATCATGCATTAAACCAGCTGCTTTATTTTAACCAGTGTCTCAGTCTCCTCCCATCTCATCTGGAGTTCTGATATTGCTGTAACATTGGGCAATTCACCCTGCAAGACACTCAGGGCAGAAGTTGTTGTTTTTCTGCAAGCGGCAGTACTTAAAGCTGAAGTGGAGTAATGCAAAATAGCTGCTGTTGGAGCACAGCAGTGCAGAAATCTAAGATCTAAGCTATGTTTTAGCCTGGAATATTTTCCATGAAACACTTATTCTCTCTCTTTTTTCTTTTTTCCTTTTTTCTTTTCTGAGTGGGGGTTGTGTGAGTTTTTCTGGCTAATACCTGTAAGGAAATTTAAGTTTATGTAAAAGCTGCCACATTTTGCTCAAAAGAGTAGAGCCATGTTTGCTGTGAAAGGAGAGTTAGTTCTGCATGAAAATTAATGATGTTTTCAGAGGTTTGTCACAAAAAAGTAGAAATTTCCAAAAGTAGATTTTGATGTTTGTTTTGTGTGGAATTACCAGCCTGCCCGGGCCATCCTGATTCATGAGAAAAATGTGGCCTTGTCTTAAGCCTGATTACTCTTTACCCACCTGAAGATAAATATATATTTAAGTGCTTTGATGCAACAACTGTAGATAAGTTTATAATGTCCCTGCTTCAGCAACTCTGCACGGCAAAACACAGCATGGCATTGTTATGCATAAATCTCGTTGACTTAAAAACCTGTAACTGGGTTTCTGAGGTGTGAATGCACACGTGTGCAGTGTTGGAGCCTTCACATAATGATCACGATCTGGTTCCTAACACTTACAAGATCTCTTTTAAGTTTCTGAAAGGTTTTGCTGGCAATTTCTGGCTGTTTATAGTCTCTTCATCAGAGCTAGGGGTGAAGGAACAATGTTATGAAGGGTGAGGAGCTGTCAGCCGGGAAGGTTGTACTTGAGGTGAGGACTAAGCATAAGGAATAAAAGTGGTACTTCTGTAAGGTGGCCTGACTTCTGTGAGCTGTGGCTAAACGCAGAGCAGTGGAGTGATGTGTCTGAGACCACAGAGGGGAAATGGGAACAGAACCAAGAAGTCCCAAACCTCCTGTGCCCCAGACAGTGGCACAGACCACACATCGATAACACACAGCAGGTTATAAAAGGCAAAGAGTAATAGGACATGTAAGTGAGACATCAGATAAGCAAAGAAAGGTAAAGACAGGGCATGAGATAAAGTCAGGCTGCACTGATAACGTCTACTTTCGGAAAGGATGCCAAGGAGAGAGGAACGAGAGCTCGCTTGCTGGTGTGTTGCGCTTGGGATCACCAAGGTAAAACGCCCTAAAAAGGGTCCTGCTCCCCTGACCTATGTCATGTGGGGGCTTTTTCCCCTGGAAGTTTGGGAGAGAGCTCAGGGAGCTGCACCCCTTTGGAAAGCAAACCAGCCCATGGAGCAGGGTGGTGTGATGAAAGGTGACAAATCAAGCTCCCTGGAGGAGTACCTGGGTTTAGACCCTGTGATGTTTACAACAGTCCCCTGCTTCCCGCCCTCCCCGGGGAGTTGTTCCCACTTAAATCCTTCTGCTGGGAGCCTTATCCTTCTCTAAATGGCCACTATACATTTAATCCAAACAACCAGGTGACTCCAGCACAAAGCCAGTGGCAATAAGCCAGCGTTAATGATTACCCCGGGCCCCTTGGGTTATGTAAGCCTGGATGTGCTGTACCACGGGCTCTCTCGGCTCAGACATGCCCTCCCCATCTGGGAGAAATACCAAGGACCTGCCAACACACATAGAAAGCTGTCTGGAGCCAGCTGGGATTTTCCTTCCCCCTTTTTGACAGCACCTATGAAACCCGTTATTCACTTGGTTCGGCGATTGCCATCCTTTGCTTGCTT